GAATAAGCAAACACACATGATACAGTCCCCAAGTACTGCCTCCCATTTGCCAAATATTTGCAGTTCAGGAGCATCCCCAGTCTTACAGTTTTTGGAGGTTTAGTATGTTTCCTCAGCTTTCTCTTCCATGAATTTTCAGTTTCTTTGTAAACCCATGTAAATGTTATGACCCACAGCAACCTTTGAGAGGAAGTTCAGCAACTCAGCTGCTACTCCTGACTTCACTGAGCTTTGTCATTTCCCATCTAGTCTGAGGGCTCCTACTTTACTTAGTGATTCCTTAGCTGTAATTCCAAGCCTTTCATTTTTCTTGCTACCCTAATCTAAAACTTTTCTAATTCCATTATATTAGTTTTCTATTGTTCTACTCTTTTCCCAATAGTATAATGTGATTTTCTTTTTTAATCTTCAGGAAGCATAAGATGGTATTTTCATGAACTTGCCTACTGATCCTGTCCCTGAATTGGGGTTGTCAACTCAGAGCATGTAATTTAAGATATCAATTTGTGGTTTTTTAATCAAGTGTGTCACTTTATCTACATTGAATTCCTCTTTGTTCAGTCTTAAGAAGTCTTCCTACAGTTCTTCATAGCCATCTGTTTTTCTTATTCCTCTGAATATCTTGATATTATAGCAATCTTTGTTATCTTACTGTTCAGTCCTTTTTCCAGGTCCCTTATGCACATACTGAACGGAGGGAGACGGGGGTCTGTGTGCAGGCATCTGGGGAGAGGGACTGGGGATCTGGTTTTTGGCTTCTCATCCTGGTCAGCTCGGACTGCTGGCTTCGACTTGCCTGGCTGTTTCTTTGGAGAGTTGCATGCCCACGGGAGAGAAGGAGTTTTGAGATGCCGTCACCTGGGACAGCGGTGAGTCCCATGGGAGTGGACTGCTTCCCTTCCCTTTTTCCTCCCACTGAGGGAAGGGTCCCCCATTTCCTTCTCCGCTTCTCCCACGATCCGAGACCCCCCCGGACCCCTCCCTGTGTGGTGACCGCCAGAGCCCAACAGCGCCCCCTGCTGGCCACGGTTAGGGCTGCGCTAAAGGACAGAGAAGTGTTCAGTCAGACCTTTTTTTTTCTTCTAGGACTACTGTCTAGTTTTTTTGTGTTCTGTTACTGTTTTTTGCCAACATACATGTATCTTTTAATAAAGGGTTGTTATTTCTTCTGTTTTTTCCACACTTCCTCGATTAAAAACCCTTAATTTTGAATTTACAATTGCTGAGAGAGAGGAGTTCGGTCTGCCTTGTAACTCATCCTCTTTAGCAAACATTCCAGTCTCCTCAGACTGAGACACAGGTGTAATTGGTGCACAGATAGTGAAAGTCAGGTGTTTTTTTTGGGACAGAGAGGGTACGTGAAGATAGCCAATATTTGATCACATTGACAGTTTTCAGCAGTGGAAGTTGTCCCTCACATGTTTGGGAGTTTTGGTGGTTTGTTTTTTTTTTTTTTCAAGTAATGCAAGGATCCATATAGCAAAGATAGTAATCTTTTTTTTTTTTTCTCTCTACTGATAAGAATTATGGAACATAAAATTTGGCAGCATAAATTTTGACAAATATGAGGCTAGGGATATTTGCTCTGAGGGAAGACCTAGTGGGAGGGAGAGATCTTATTTCATGTTGCATATGGCCAGATTCGGTTAGTTATTCTGAGGGTTCCTGCAGTAGAGTCCACCACACAATCTTTATTGTATGTAAGTGTTTTCTCATGAAGTATTCAATCCTTAGTCCCTGTGGCAGACCATAGACATTAAGTTTAAAGGAAAATGAAAAGATTAGATTCCAGATTTAGTTTTTTGAAGAGGACCTCATGGCAGTTAGGTGATTATTCCGACTGTCCTGGATGTAATTAATTATGGTTTTGGAGCTCAGCAGTACTACTACCCTTCCTTTCTATCCCTGCTGAACTGTCTGAGATGACCATTTAGGACATCCCTCTCACAGCTAAAGATGGAGGGGAAAAAACCCAAACCTATGTCAGACGGTGTGTTGTGCAGTCAATCTTTTTAGCTGTAGGTCAACCAAGGAGAACAACAAAGTTGAGTGCAAAAGAAATAGTATTAACTTCTTCCATAGAAAAAATACTATAAAACCTTCAGAAAAAACTTGCTGAGCCACTTTTGAACAAAACATTTTATTCCAATGCTCTGCATTATTTCTAAAGTATTCTAGAGAAAATACTTACCAAATGCCAGAAATAATACATCTTACTCAGACAGATTTAAAATAGCAAGTATTACATAAAGGTGTGCGCAAAACCAAAATTGGCTGAAAGGATTGATGAGGGCAGAAATGGAAGAGAATACCTGTAGGATACAAACATTTACAAGAAAAAGTCTGACAAATGAATTATTTAAAGTCTATTGCCTGGACCTTTCCAGTAGCTTTTAAAATATTAAAGTTAAACACAAGGAAGAATAAGCAAGACAAACTGGAAATATCAAACTTCATTGATAAAAGCAACATTGCGTAATTCTTTTAATAGGCAATAATATATATGCAATCATGAGAGATAGAAAAGCTCAATAATGTGTAAATATATCTGTCCTCCATTAGTAACAGCAAAAAGCTGTATTAATTCAAAAGCAACCTGCATCAGTCCAACATACCACATCATTCCAATGTCCTACTTATTTCCATGGAACAAATATTCTGGTTTAATGTAAAGAGATGTTTGAAATAAATGATCCGTGTTACTTTTAAAAGCATTTTTAATGTAAATGTTGATTAGTCTTTCCTCTCTTTCTGAAAAAGAATATGATTCAAGCTCGGATGTTCTTTTCTGCTGGTACACTGGTATCTGTGAAGTCTGTAGCATAAATGTCCATTAGAACTTGATTGTCTGAGCTGCTGCTGAGACACTAAAGGCACTCAGCAAACTTTTTCTCCCTTTAATGGTTATTCCAGTATCGGAGGGTGGCAGAACCTGGGGGTGGGGTTGTACTTCAACATAGTACTGCTGTGGGACTCTCCAGCACAGCCAGAGCATCACAGATGCAGCTATTTCAAAAATAGGGAACTTTGCTGATCTGCACCTTTAAGAAGCTATGTTTCTGTTTCAATACTGGGTGAGTCCAGATTACAGAAAGGGAGGTCATAAATCATTATCGATTTCAAAGTTTGCTGAAAACAAAAAAATGGAAGTGTGCTCCTCCCCCAGAACCAGCAGCTAAATTCATCTAAAATGCAATACTGTAGATTTTTTTTTATGGCATTAACAGTGATGGATTAATTATTTTCTATAAGACCATCTCATGGAATTGGTGAATCTAGGCCCTTGTTTCTGCTCACTGAGGCAGCTTTCGTTTATAACCAGAAGTAAGGAATCAAACTGAGTTTGAATTAGAGCATGTGCATGGCATTTGCAATCATTCCGTTTCCAGCTGTAGGAGCTAGCAGTTTGAAGGGCTAGACCATTGTGTTTTTTTGGATACTACTAGCTCACATTATAAAAGATATGACAATTGTCTATTCACTTTAATTATAGTTCCTCAAAGACTATAATTCCATTAAAACCAGTATAGATGTTAAAAAATGAATTTTACAATACCTACCTGAAGGCAAATATTCATGCAGTGTTCTCCGTTCTTATGGTAAGGCTTTCAGATAGCTGAGTGAAATGACCAATGGTAATCTTGGTAGCAATCTACAGAGCTAGTCTGTGCAGTTGGCTGTGAACAGATCTGATCCTGCTGGCACTCAGGACACACAAGTGTTAACAAGCCAGCTGGGCAGAGCAGCTCCTACCCTGAGTCCTGATGTCTGCAGGAGGTGTAGAGAGGCAGGCCCCAGTTCTTTTGTTTGTGGTGTATGAATGAACTGAGCACAGCAAGCTTTATCTTGGTCTGGCCCCATTTAGCAGCAGGTATGGTAGAAGGATGCTTTAGTGCTTCACTGGAGAAAAAGACCAGAGCAAATGAGTTGTTCCTTGTATCTAAGCTTGGATTTCCTTAAGCACAGTGTGGAAAGTATGTGCCCAAGCTACAGACAGGCTGTGGCCAACCAGAAGCAAACCATGTGATTTGTAGTTGTACTTCAGACATTACACAAGTCAGATAAGAGATCTCACTACAAGATAGATGTTCTTAAAACATGTTGAAGGAGCTGGAGGTCAGCCTTCAATTCAGCAACTGTATGGAGTGAAGTAACCCAAAGGGGTGATCCACTCCTGTGATCTAAGTGCAGATTTGAGGCAGTTCAATATAGTAAGTGCTAAAGGGAAAGTCATTCTAGCCCTGTAAGAGAGAGGTAAGCAGAGATAGCAGTAGTGGTGAGAAAGCTGGAGTTACAGGGTTTTCAGAGCAATAAACATGCTGAGATTAAACAGCACTGGAGTATGGTAAAAACTGGATCAGTCATCAAAAAATAAAAATACAAACATTATGAACTTGACTGGGTAGCATGATCTTCAAAACAAACATACCACTATATAGCCATATGAAGAAGCTTCTTTTTCCACCTCACCCAGCTAAACCAAGAATGGCAAACAAAAGGCTAGATTTGTTTTAGGTCAGGATGACAGAAGCAGAAGAAATCTGTTCCATTTTAGGCCTAGTGAAAGTTTTAGAAATTTGCTATTAGAAAACAAATTGAACCTTTTGATACATAGGCGTTTGAGAACTTCAACTTTTTTTTTTTTTTAATCTCATTTTAATTATAAAACTTCGTTCTTTTTTTAGTCATGTAAGTACCCCCAAGTCGTATTGTTAGTTTCCTGCTACCTTAATTTTTTTTAGATTAGGGTATACTTTATATTTGAGTAGTTTTTATATATAAATTTTCCTAGTTAGAAAAAGTATTCACATCTACTTCGAGAATTATCATCAGAACAGCAGCTTTTGACCTGCACTGATAAAAGTGTGAGACAAGAGGTTCAAATGAGTGGCTTGTCCAGAAGAAGACCACTCTGAAGGTACTTTTAGACATAGCAAGGGATATCCTATGGAAAAAGGATATGGAGAATGTTATCTTCTCACTTGATTCACTGTATGCACAATCACCTCTTGACCAGATTTTGGCTGTGATACTTTTAAGATGTTAGAGCTCAGTTTGTTTGCATTCTTCCATGAGAATTTGGTTCTGCACTGTTACAGCAGGAAGGTAATCGTTGACTGGGTCTTGAATGCTTGTGAGAATCTGACCTATCCCTCGGCTGATCCTCTGCCCGTATGACCCACTGCTGTTTTTGGCTGAGATAGTCTGACCTCTGTAGATTTGAGCCTGATGCTCACATATACCAAACTTGCTTAGCAGGATAAACACATCTCTACGAAAAGCTTTGGTGAAAATTGCATAAAGAAAGGGGTTGGCACAAGAATTGAGGGGGTAGAAAAGTACGAGCAAAATCTTGGAATTGGTGACAGTTATCAACGGTTTGTTCATAATGGCAGATAAAGCATGGAAAGAGATGGGAGCCATGCACAGAAAGTCTGTGAAAATCAACACAGCCATTCGCTTGGCAATTTTGGTGTCTTTGTCCCCTGACTTGTACTGAGGGTTTCGCACAGTTACATAGATTTTTATGTAGCAGGCACAAATGATGACAAAAGCAATAATGTTACATATTAAAACAAAGACAACATAGGCTTCAGCCACTGGTGTTTCAGTGTCCATAGGCAAGCAGATGCTGACTTTGCTGTAACTGCTGACCCCAAGCAGTGGTAATAAGGCAAGCAGAATGCATGAGAGCCACCCTCCTAGCATGATCACCAAGGCGTGCCGGAGGCGAATCTTCCGATCTGGGCGCATGGCAAATGTGATGGCGTACCAGCGCTCCAGGGTGATCACAGTCAGTGTGTACACAGAAAGTTCACTAGCAAAGACTGTGAAAAAGCCAGCTGTGTTGCAACCGGGCCCAGTCTGCCACTCTATGGCATGGTTATAGTACTCTGACCTGGTGTAGAGATCAACTGAGGCGATCAGGAGGAGATATAACCCCATGCAAAAGTCAGCAAAAGCCAAGTTACACATCAAAAAGCGTGGTACAGTCAGTTTATAATGGCTGGTGAGAAGGATAAAAAGGACAAAAATGTTACCTAGGATGGCAAACAGGTTCACAAACCACACCACAATCCTCAGAAATGGATATCCCATTATATCCTCACAGGGATTAAACTCATCAGGCTCTGGTGTGCATATTACATCTTCATTGCCTCCACAGACAGGATAGTCATAATGACTGTCAAAGGTCTGGACATCTTCCGTTTGAGGGTTTTTGAGCTCTTTGCCAAAGCCAAGATTTCCTTCTCCATGTTCTTCCGAGAAAATGTAATAATGGGGATTTTCGTGAAAATTCGTGAACTTGGTGTTTGTGTCATACACAGGATCGACGTGATCTGTGTATTCTTCTGCGTAATCTCTGTAAAATGGACCTCTGAGAGCTTTGACTGATCTCTTATGAAAGCTGTGGCTGCCGCTCTGGTTACAAGTCAGGTACTCCAGGATCCTGAAAGAGTAGCAGGAAAAATAATTTCTCATGTTTATAGTCAGACTGGAGCACAGTAATCAAAGGGAACACTTCAAACCATCACAAATGAAAACATAGCTATAAACATGTGATTGGATATATTTCTGTTAACAGAACATATAGTGTACAATAAGCTTGAGCACTTCTGGGCTTTTTTCTTTTTAACTATATTTTTACTTTCTGTGTTGCTATCAGCTGTCTCTGGTAGTAATTTGACTTGTTTAGTATCCATAATTCCTCTTCCTTTTTGGGATCTACGTTCTCAGTATGTAACAAGACATTAATCTACTGTTTATAACTTCTTAGATAATACAGCATTTCTGTTTTCACTGTTGCTCACAAATCAATTTCTCTCAAAACTTCCATCAGTTTAATCTCTGTTCTGTAGGTTGTTTACAGCTAACTAGCAGTGTGGTGATTTGGATCACTGTACTTTACCGTGTGATGCAGCTGTATTTCTAGTGAAAACTTTTTCAGTAGTCAAAAGCTTTTCAGTTTAAAAAAGTATGAGACTTGAGGCTGTAATCCCTCCCACACTTTTCTCTAGGTCTTGCTACAGCACTGTATCCTTTTCTTTTTTCTTTCTCTTTAATTCTGAACTCAACAAGAGGAGGAACTTCTGGAAAAGGTCCTACAAAACATTCCTTTTCCCGCCAGTTTGCAATTGTAATCTCTGTTTCAAAGAGCATCATCTATACCTCAAAAAAATTGTAACAAAAGTGGCAATAGATGTAATTTTATATTAATAATAAAACATTGTCTTTACTTTCAAACTTAAAAAAAGAATGACAGTGAAACTCACCCACTTTTTTTTTTCCAGCTCTTGAAAGCACAACAGTGACTTGGGTATGATAGGTCAGCTCGCATTATCTGAAGAAATATCTTTACAGCTGGTAATTTCTTTAAAGTCCATGTATTTTTGGCCATTAGTTCTTTTAGGCTTTCCATTCCTTTGGCTGGAAGGTTAGAGATAGCTGTTCTGGAGACATCCCTAGGTAAAGGAAGAAAAAGACAAATGTCAGAATATTCACTGAATTTTTTCAGATTCTTACAGTACTTCAGGAGTTTCACAGAATTCTACAGCAGAAATCAAATCCAGAGTAGGTGGAGGTTGCATATTGCCTTGCTAAGTTCAGATACCATTCAAATTCAAGTAAGTTATGATTTCTCTGTGATTTTTTTATCTTTTAAAGCTCTTGTCTTTAATGTTTCATAGAGCAGAATATGAATTATAAAGAAATATCATGACTTTTAAAATTATACATTTAAAGCCAGCCAGAGACAGGTGCATATGCAAACACAAAGCTTTAAAAATTCTTTAAAGAAGTCACATCTTCCACTGGAAGAGCTATATGCCCTTAGACTTCTTTAGACTCATTTTAATCTCTTAGCACACTTCAATAGAAAGTACTGCAATTACTAAAAGAATATTCTTTATATACGGAAATTAAAATCTTCTTAGTCCATCCTGAATATCTCAGAAAATTGAGTATTATGTTTGTTGCTTTCTACTTGACTGCTGAGGTGGACTCAGTACCACATCAGCAGACAATTGATGGGGAAGGTGGCTTTCCTTTAGAACAGCCAGGTGAATGTTATCTAGTCCTGATAGTGTTTTCTACTCAGTTTTTTTTTGTCCCAAAACCTCTTCTACTGACTCTTGAAGTCAAGATGTTCTCAAGAGTTACACTCTGTGAAGAAATAAACCCTGTGAAAAGGGTTCTAGTGTAGAAACTTTAGCACTTTTATCATGAACACCCTAATAATAAATAATAAATTCAGCTTTTTTCTGTGCATTGGTTTTTAAGAGTGCTGTTCTTATCCCTCTAGAAGTCTTACCCACTGGCTAGTTTCTTGCACCTAAGAGAAAACTAGTACTAATTTTATGCTTTAAACAACTTCTAAATACCTAAAACACTTGGGTTTGTTTTGGTTTTTTTCCTCCTTTTGATTTGCTTGTATTTGTTTTTAAATTGAGTTAGTAATTGCTTCTCCTTTTTGTAGGAGGGCTTTTTTACTTCTAAAAGCTTCTTTGCTATCATATGTATTTGACTATGTCACAACTAGTTGATTTCAACTGCATAAAATTCTTTTTTGTTTTTCTGGAGTCCTTTTTGATATGTTTCTAACAAGTTCCTGAAGTGGCTCTTATAAGACTCTGAATGCTGCCTGCTATCATTTTAGCTTCTAAAGAATCACTGAGTAGTTGAGTTTCCAGATCATCCAGTTTGACCTCCTTGCTCAAAACAGGGTCAAGTTGAGCTCAGAGGACTGTCTCCAGGACTGGAGACTCCACGGCCTCTCTAGCAGTGTATTACATCATTTGACCACTCTCACAGTAAAGAAATTATTTTTTTATGTTGAAATGGACTTTTTTCTATTTCAGTTTGCACTTATTGCGTCTTGTCCCATCACTGAACACCACTGAGACCCTGACTCTGTCTTCCCAGTACCTCATCCACCCTCCAAGTATTTATACACATTGATAAGGTTTCCTTGACTCCTCTCCAGACTAAGCATTTCCAACTCTCTCAGCCTATCCTGCTATGACAGATGCTCCAGTCCCTTACTCAACTTAGTGGTCTTTTCATTTTTCAGTAATGTCCTCATTTCCACAGAATTACCGAATGGGCAAGGTTAGAAGAGACCACAGTGGGTCATCTGGTCCAACCTCCCCACTCAAGCAGCATCATCCTGAAGCACATTGCACAAGATTGCATCTTCAGTGGGAGACTCCACAACCTCTCTGGGCAATTTGGTCCAGTCACTTGCACAGTGAAGAAGTTCTTCCTTGTTTTCAGGTGGAATTTTCTGTCCACTAGTTTCTGCCCATTGCCTGTTGTCCTATTGCTTGGCACCACCAAGAAAAGCCTGGCTCCATCCTCTTGATGCCTTCCCTTCAGATGCTTAAAGACATTGATGAGCTCCCCTCTTAGTTGCCTCTTCTTGAGGCTGAACAGGCCCAGCTCCCTCAGCCTTTCTGTGTATGAGAGATGTTCCAGTCCCTTAATCGTCTTTGTAGCCCTTCATCAGACCTGTTCCAGGAGCACCATATCTCCTTTGTAGTAAGGAGCACAGAACTGGACACTGCACTCCAGATGCAGTCTCGCTAAGGCTGAGTAGAGGGGCAAGATCACCTCCCATGACCTGCTGCCAATGCTATTCCTAGTGCACCCTAGGATACTATTGGCCTTCTTGGCCACAAAGGCACACTGCTGGCTCACAGACAGCTTGTTGTCCACCAGGACCCCCAGGTCCTTCTCTGCAGAGTTGTTTTCCAGCAGGTTGGCCCCCAGCCTGTGTTGGTGCCTGGGGTTATTCTTCCCCAGGTGAGGACCCTGCATTTGCCTTTGAATTTCAGGCAGTTCTTCTCTGCCCATCTCTCCAACCTGTCAAGGTCCTTCTGAAGGGCTGCACAGCCCTCTGGGACACGGCCACTCCTCCCAGCTTGGTGTTGTCAGCAAACTTGCTGAGGAGGTGTCTTCCCCTCCATCCAAGTTAGTGATGAATAGGTTAAACAATACTGTGCCCAGTATTGAACCTTGGGGGACATCACTAGTGACAGGCCTCCAACTGGACCCTCTGCCACTGACTACAACCCTCCAAACTTTGCTGTTCAGCCAGATCTCAATCCACCTCACTGTCCACTCATCCAGTCCACACTTCCTCAGTTTGTGTATGAGAGTATTGTGACAGTGTCAAAAGCCTTGCTGAAATTGAGGTAGACAGTATCCACTGCTTTCCCCTCATTCAGCCAGGTTAGTTGTTTCATTGTAGAAGGCAATCAGGTTGGTAAAGCATGAATTACCTTTAGTGAATCTCTGCTAACTAGTCTGATCATCTTGTCATCCATGTGGATAGAGATGGCCTGCAGAATGAGGCACTCCAGCACCTTTCTAGGTACTGAGGTGAGGCTGACTGGCTGGTAGTTCCCTGGACCCTCATTCGTTCCCTGGGCCCTCATTCTTTCCCTTTCTGAAGACAGGGGTGATGTTTGCTTTCTTCCAGTCCTCAGGCACCTCTCCTGATCTCCATGACCTTTCAAAGATGATCATGAGCTGCCTTGCTATGCTGTCTTCCAACTCTCTCCCAACTCATGGATGCACCCTGTAAAGGCCCATGGAGTTGTGGATGTCAAGTCTGCCTAAGTGTTTTCTGATCCAACATTGCTTTATCCTGGTCTCCTGGGTCAAAGATTCCTGAGGGCTGTTCTTGTCAGTGAAGACTGATGCAAAGAAGGCATTCATTAACTCTGCCTTCTCTATGTCCTCTGTTACCAGGGCCCCCCTCCCTATTTAGTAACAGGCCCACGCTACCCTTAGTTTTCCTTTTGTTATTGATGTATTTGAAGAAGCCCTTCTTGTCCTTGACATCCCAGGCCAGATTTAATTCCAGATGGGCCTTGGCCTTCCTTATCTCATTTCTACTTACTCTGATAACCTCTCTATGTTCATCCAAGTGGTCTGATCCAGCTTATGCTTGAGTAATGGCAGGAGTTCATCCACAGAGGTCTCTTGCCCACTTTGCCCAGTTTCTTGCTGATTGTGATACATCATTCTTGAGCCTAGAGAAGGTTATCCTTGAATATTAACCAACTCTCTTGGACCCCTATTCCCCACAGAACCTGCTCCCATGGGATTCTTCTTCCCAGGGCTCTCCTGAAGTCCATGGTTGTAATCTTACTTGCTGCCATGTTCCCTCCTCACCTGATACTGAATTCCACGATCACATGGTCACTGCAGCCAAGCCAGCACCCAACCTTCACATCTCCAACAAGGCCTTCCCCGTTTTTTAGTATAAGATTGAGCAGCACACCATTCCTTGTGAGATCCTCCACTACCTGACAGGAAGTTCACATCAACACTTTCCAGGAACCTCCTGGACTATTTGTGCTTTGCTGTATTACTTCTCCAGCAGATGTCAGGGTAGTTAAAGTTCCCCACAAGAACCAGCGCCTGTGACCCTGAGGCTGCTTCTTCTGCTGCCTGTAGAAGGCCTCATCCACTTCCACCTCCTGATCAGGTGGCCTGTAGCAAACACCCACAACAGTGTTAGCCTTATTATGTCACCCTTTTATCCTAACCTATAAGCTCTCAACTTCCCCATCATCTGTCCAAGACAGAGCTTGATACGTTCCAAGTGTTGCCTCACATAGAGGGCAACTCCACCACCACGCCTTCCCGATCTGTCTCTCCTAAATAGCATGTAGCCCTTCATGACAGCATTCCAGTCATGCGAGCTGTCCCACCATGTCTCTAATCAGGAGATCAAAGCCCTGTGACAACACACAGACCTCTGGTTCCTCCTGTTTGTTCCACTGCGTGTGTTGATATACAGGCACTTTAAAGAAGTATTTGATTGTGTCAATATCCCGGGAGGGGTGCAAAGGGATGCCCCGTAGTCCTGTCTTGAGATTATATCTTTGGATGCTTATATTCCCTCTTAAGTCTCCCTTTGCTCCTTGGGTGGTTGCTATAGCTGTCCCCATATCTTATCTCTGTTGAGCTTGGCTATGCCCCTGTTCCCTTTCAAATGTAATTTAAAGCTCCCACGATGACCCCTGCTAACTTGTGAGCTAAGATCCTTTTTCTCTTTTGAAACATTTTATAGAACTCTCCTTCTAGAGCAAAATATCTTGGTAAACTAGATCTTGGAATAGATCTTACCAAGACAAGACTGGCCTTTCAGCAACTCTCACAGGTGTCCATCAAGTCCTCATGGTGGTGGCAGCTATCTGCAAGTAGGTAACGTGGTTAAATGCTGTGTGATGGGAGATGTTGAGACTCTTTGGAAGCAAAGTGATACCTCACAAACTCTTGGGAGTTCTTTGAAGATGTACTGGCACAAGCTATGGAGAAAGGTGATTCCGTTTGTGCATTGAATTGAGATTTCTGAAAAGCCTTTACAAAATCAGATATCAAGGGCTGTTGAGGTAACTAATCTGTTATGTGTCAAAGGGAATGGCTCTCCTGAATTAATTAAAAGATAAAA